CTCTCTCTCTCTCTCTCTCTCTCTCTCTCTCTCTCTCTCTCTCTCTCTCTCTCTCTCTCTCTCTCTCTCTCTCTCTCTCTCTCTCTCTCTTTCTATCTCTCAGGGAAAAAAATTTTGCAATTTCCATATTTTGCAAGCTTAAAGTTTAAATCCCAATGCGCTTGAATAAATCTCGAAGCTTGAAAAAAAATAATAAGACGACAAGGACAAATACGAAAACGTACTTTCTTTCAAGGAGACTGCATAAGCACAAGTCGATAAATTTCTAAAATCGCGATAGCTAATAGAGAGAACGTGTTCCACAAGCGTATAAATCTCCAGTTTGCGCGGAGACAAAAGCCCAACAAGAACCCGAGCAATGTCCGTAGTGAAATATCTATGTAGATGACATTCCGTCCAAAATCCATTATTTATGTGGGAACAACGTAAGACCGCGTACCGTCTGCGGTTGGACGGCATTTAAAACGACATTTTGATTTATTATGCAAGAATGAGTTAATACGCGAAATTTTGTAAATTCAGTTATCGCGTATCACTCAAATCGTTTAGATAAAAGTCTGTCATTTTGCGCTCAATTTGCTCCAGATTATCCTGTGACGTGAGTTATTAATAATGTATTTTAATAACATTATCTTTCAAAGTTATGTTATATATTAGCATTCATGCCTCGGGCAACAGCTGCCGTTTTTCCACACGAGTTTCATTCTTGAATTCCCGAACCGACGGACGGGCTGGTTTAAACAGGGGAGAATCCACGAAACCGAGAGATATCTGAAACGTTTTGACGAAAGCCCGGAAGCAGAAAGAGAGTGTCATTGCCGCATTACGACCTATCTTAATGGCCGATCGGATAAATCGAGATTAACACGTTAATCTTGTTCAGCTTAAATCGCAGCCTCCGATATATCGCGCGTGATTGTTCGAAAGGCTTTTGTTTCCCAGGTGTAAAGCTACCGGAGATTGTGTACGAGGATCTCTTTAAACCCTATCTGATGAATGAGTGTCTCGTGACCCAATAATTACGTCACGATGCCCCATACATTTCGCGATCGAAATGCCTCTCAGGATCGGAAAATTATTTTGATGATGATCCGGTGTCGGCCATTTATCCGGAATAATCACTCACAAGCCACTTCTCTTTTCATTTGTGAAATTATGTTACGATCACTATTTCTGATAAATTTATTTACCACATTAAATTATCTAAATTATATATGTATTTCAATATCGGTATTTATTTAAATAATTATCGACATTCTCTCAGATTATGCAAACGGCGACGGATACGGATAGAGTTTCGTACGAATAAATCGAACGGGTAAATAAACATGCGGATACGAGCGGAGGGGCGGGAGGAGGGGGAATGGGGGGAGGGGTTCTCGCTCAATTCTGTATCCACAGATAAATCCGTTTTTCAATCAAGAGCTTATTCTGAATATCGGCTATCGGACTTTCTTCTCCCGTCCCATCGACACTTTAAATAAAATTCCGTCCGTCTTCGTATTAAAGCGGGGATCGCGAGGAATCCTTTCGATCGCGAGGTGTTAATTAGACCTTCCGAGCTCCCAACACCTCCGTTCGCCGAGCCTTTGGGCTCGTGAAATAGCACCTCAACCTTTGCCTTTAACGAGGACGAGGCGTCGCGCTGCCGTTGTCCGTATATCAAAGAGGTACTCTGAGATCCGACACTAATTAATGCAATAATGGGCACGCGGCGAGTTTTCTGATGTTTTTGCGACGGTAATGGCCCGGGGAAATTTCGCTATTTGAAAAAGGCTGGTGAATTTCTCGAGGAAGCATAATCGATGGATATCTATGAAATGTCCCGAGAGAGAGAGAGAGAGAGAGAGAGAGAGAGAGAGAGAGAGAGAGAGAGAGAGAGAGAGAGAAGAAGAACG